TCTCTCTCTCTCTCTCACACACACACTGTCTCTGTCTCTGTTTATATAGACCCTACTATTAGGGTCAGAGGCCGCCACCTTATAGGCCTAAATGACCAAAATTGAGTTGATGGGGACGTAAAAAATTCTACATTTAAATTAGATTTAACTTGTATACAAGAACCCGGCAGACAGACAGAACTGCTCCATTATGAAAGAAAAAAAAAAACAACAACGCAAAACCATCACCCTTGGATCGAACTCAACGACGTGTTTTTCGTGCTGCGGCAAACAGTCTAACCGCTACACGGGGAGGGGGGGGGACTCTCGTGGCCTAGAGATTACGGTGTTCGCCTCTTATTAAATAGGTCCCGGGTTCGAATCCGGATTAGGACGTAAAATTTCCCCCTCTAAAATTGTCTCCTTTCACGTCCTTTTCTGCTCTCTAACAATATTCTGTCCTCTGCTTTCATCCTACTTTTTGCCCCCCCCCCCCCAACCTCCTTCGCCCTCTCCTCTGGGTTCCTGATTCTTTCTGCAACCTTTCTACTGCTACTTCTTGGTTCCTTCTAAATGCTGTCTTTCAGCCACGCCCCTGATCTTATGGTAGGAAAAATCTATACCTAGCGTTCTTGGACGAGAGTGAAAAATCCCGGAGGTCCCGTGTGCAAGTTGTGCACGTTAAAAATCCCTTGGTGGTCCAAAAATCGATAAGAGTAGGCTTTGGCCACCACCTGGGCAAAATTCAAAATTTCCTACCTACTGAAATTAATGTTGAATGTGTCCTGCACACCCATGTGACCTTATGCAGTAATTGCGAGCGCCGTAGGGCTGTTTAATGAATTAAGTAAGTTAGTGTTTGTTTGTTTTAGTAGAGGTTTTACAGCGCTCGCAACTGCATTAGGTCATATGAGCACCAAGGTGTGGATGTCAACAGCGAAGTCTTTACAGGGAATCAGGCTTACTCTGCTCACCTCTCTAGCTTCAACGGCACAAATTCTGCTTCGACTATCAAGGCACCCCGGAAATAGCGGGTAACAAGAGTGTGACAAACATACAATAGAAGTAGAGGAAAATGACGATTGTAAGGATTAGGACCGAAAAAGCGGCATTTCTCTGTTGCAGTTCATTTACACTTCGGGGGAGGGGGGTAAGTTAGTGTGAGCAAATTGTAAAAAGAATAAGCTATAAATAAATGCCACTTTTAATTGATTCATTGTGGAGAAATTAATTTAGTGTACAATGACATGACATTAATACGGTACATAGATACTCAAATACATCATAGGTACATAATATGCATACTTAGACACACAGATAATGATGTATTGCAAATACACTATTGCTGCTCGTCGCTGCTGTGACGCGTCCCTTTTTCTTTGTTTGTAACTATGTTTTTGGTTATTTTTATTTTTTTGTTTGTTTGTTTGTTTGTTTTGCTTTGGATGGGGGGGGGGGTTGTAGGTTTTTTTTAGGTTGTATTTTTTTAAGCGATGGTTATTGTGTGTTGCTCAAGGACACACTCCAGTGACTACCTACCTAAACGCTGTACCACAAATGTATGCTTGACATAATCATTTTTTGTGAGCCTGATCTCTTCTTCTTCTTCTCTTCTTCTATCCATGTTTGGGGCAACCGTTGAGGCACCACTGCATTGGAAAACCAGCTCTCGTCATCTATTTTTGTCCTCTGCTCTCCTCAGATTGTCACCCATCGTCTTTCCTGTCCACTCTGTAATGTTGTCCTCCCATCTCCTTCTCTGCCTTCCTCTCTTTCTCTTTCCTTGTACGGTTCCTTGCAGGATTGTTTTTGGCAAGTCCTGTGGATCTTGTGACATGCCCATACCATTTTAGTCTTCGTCTCTTCGCTGTGGTCAGTGGATCTTCATATTGCCCCACTGCGTTGGTGATTCTCTTTCGTACTTCAGCATTTGAAACGTGGCCTTTGTACGAGATGTCAAGGAGTCTGCGGTAACATCTCATCTCTGTGGTCTGAATCTTTTTCTCTAATTCTGCTGTTAGTGTCCATGATTCGCAGGCGTATAAAAATATTGAGATGACCAGTGAGCGCATTGGTCTAATTTTTTAGCTGTGCGTGATGTTTCTGTCCCTCCAAATAGGCTTCAGTTTTGACAGCGCAGCTGTTGTTTGCGCGATTTCTGGAGAGAATTTCTGGTCTTGAGCCTGATCTCACTAACCAATAAACTGATAGTTTACAGCCCCCCCCCCCTCCCCAAACCAAACCTATTTAGATTATTTTGGAGGCGGGCAGCTTCCTCTCCAGTCGTTCGGGCCTACTTTTTTGAGTGGAACATAACATGACAGTAAGCTCTTTTTTGTTTTTGTTACCGTCTGATGCTTGTTACTCTCCCATCAACACAATTTTGATTATTTAATAAAACGGCGGGATTCCGACCCTGTCTGTTAGGGCCAACACAGGCTGAGAGGGGACACAATATTGCAGAAAGACCCAGATATGCTCGATAACAAATTTTTCCTCCCAGTCAAGAATCGAACTCGGGTCTCCTGTGTGCGACAGCGAATCGCCTAACCGCTACACCACAGACGCTGGTTTCCAGCATGCAGGCTGAGATGCTCGTTTAGAAGAATAAAGAGAAGAAAACACAAAAAATAAAAAACAAAAACAAAAAATAGCACCCAAAAAACAAAACAAACAAACAAAACCTGCCCCACTGTGGGATCGAACTCTCGTCTTAAGTGTGCAACAGTGAAAACTATAATTATTCATCTCAATAATAAGGACGTAAGTTATACGCCATTTTAATTATCAGTTAAAATATTATGTGGAGAAAAGTGTTTGATTACTCACTGTTGTCAGCAGACACATAATTAATGTAGATTAGTCCAATGAAATGGTATAGTGTATTAATATCATTGTGTTCTCGTAGACTTGTGGTACCTTAGAATTACAGTTAAGATCTATCTCTGCTTAGTACCTAGTTTTGAGAAATGTGAAGGTAAAAATGTGGAGTTTCACAACTTGTTCAAGTTTTTTTCAAGAGTTATTCTTTGAATTTCTTGATAGCGACTCCGACTAATCTTACGATTTTTATAGAGCAGATAGAACATGAATTTGGTTTCTCACTTCATGGTCTTCTCACTCACAGAGGCCAAAAATGTCAGACAGAACTTTGTCATTCTAAGTCAGCGTTATATTGGAATATAAAAGGTCGTTCACTCGGGCATAATTCTTGTTCATCATGATGTTCACCATTTGACTCAATTTGGAACCAAAATGAAGGGCAAAGAAAGGAAGAGGGGGGGGGAGAGAGGGGGTGTTGCAGGTGCACTCGAATAATAGAGAGACTGGTGTCTTAATTGCTCTTCATTTGCGCACCCACAGTGTTGCACCAGCGAAGTTTCTATAGAGAGCAAAGAGCAGGTGGTTGGTGAGTGCTCCAGGGTTGGTTGCTTCTTTTTTTTTCAATCAAACATCTGTCGACCTTCCTCCTTTATTTAGTGTAATTATGCTTCTCTCTAATAACACATGTCTCTAATCATGTGACCTATTCGTGTTGCAAGTGCCGTGACACTTACTGAAACTAAAGAGAGTAAAAAGTAGTCTGGTCTGTTACTGTACTGTTACTCTATGCCTATACTGCCAGGTACTTTAAGGCGGATAGCTGTCGACGCCACCCTTATCTGTCCCTGGCCACGTCCTCCAATTTCGGCAAATCCAGTGTCTGGTCCAGTAGGATATATAATGATTCAAGTCTATGGGTGTTCTATATCTCTTCTAAAAAATCTGAGACAGAGCTTTGGATGATGAGCACATTAAGAGTAACGCAACATTTTGTTAACACATCATGGTGAGATATAGCGTGTCATAGACTTAGTGAGTTTATTAACTAGTGAGCACAAGATAGAATTCTCAGAGGATCTCCTCTCTCTCTCTCTCTCTCTCTCTCTCTCTCTCTCTCTCTCTCTCTCTCTCTGTCTCCCACTCTCTCTTTTTCTCTCTCACTCTCACCAGAAATATAATATTCTATAATGCTCAAGTGATACTTACAGAGTATCAGTCAGTCAAATTCAAACAAGCTGTCTTCCAGGGAAAGTATTCGGAACGACACACCGTAGTAATAAACAAGGTACTACTCTATTTTTGAAGCAACATCGCTTGAACCGGTATAATTATATCAATATGTCTAGCATCTAAGTGAAACCAGGTGTGCTCGTCAAAATAATGAAATCAAAGAAACCGATATTTGTCCGTCCTTTGGGCATTTTTTATTGTTTGATTGGGGTTTTTTTATGCTTGGTTCAACGCTTTTTACTTTTATAAAACACAATAATTTCTGTTTCGATTTGACTCAAATACGCTCTTCAAAGGAATGTTTCAATATAAATTTTAAGTTTTCAAGGACACTCAAGCTTTGGAAGTCATCAAACTTGACGGCCATTTCCACGCTAATTTGACCTCTGACACCAGGCAACCCTCATGTCTCGACTTCTATTCCACATAGAGAGATAATAATTTTCTCATTTTAAAAAAAGACAAGACAAAAGAATAATTTAAAGATGATACCCATAACTCCCTACCTGTCCCCGTCGTTTTATGCAAGAGAAATTCTGAAATTATGCAAACTGAGCACAAAAATGTGAAATTATGCGATTCTGTTAATTTTAACAAAGAATGACAAAGGAAAATAATTAGACATTACGCAAAAAATGATCAAGTTTTGCTAAATTATGCGGGGTGCATAAAACCACGGGGACAGCAGCCCTATGCCTAAAATCTGACCAGCGCCTGATTCCAGCACGTCGTGATACATTA